CAGTCCAAAGTTATCTGGAATTTAGGTAATTATTTTATTGCTTCTCAGGTTCACCTCCACTGCCAAACCATTATTTCCCTAACAGCTTTTAGACGAGGGAAGAGAGAGAAATTATTTCGCTTGTGGTCAAGGGGGATCTGCTGATCCCAGCACATTCCGAAGTATGAACCTACCGCATTTCCCTCCTTGGGATTATTTGTGTTGGTGACATCTGTAGCTTTTTCGGCACATAGGCGGGGGGGGGGGGGGGAGGAAAACAAACATTCAAACCAGAACACAGAGTTAATACAGAACTGTTTCAAGCAGATCTCACTGCTTTCCTTCCACTAGTAGTATGTCACTTGAAGAAATTCCTGTTATAAAACAGATCCTGATTCCCTAAATTTCTGTCTGTACCCCCAAGCATAAGAATCCACTTATGCTCAGTTTATGGGGTTGAGAGGCAAGGGAACAAGTATTACATGTGTCACAATGCAAACTCTACCTCTTATGCACTTGTGTGTGATGAAAGGATAGAACTTCTTTCATGATGTGAGGGGACACATTCTGTCATGGTGGCTTCATCAAGGCTACAGCAGATGTTCACAGCACTAAGACTTTTGCATTATATCCACCAAAATGTAGGAACTGTTCTAATTCATACCCCATTCTTGTGCCTTGCTAGGTAAGCATGGGATGATGGAAGAAAACTAAATCTAAGTGAGAGATGCTGTCAAGAGTGCGCACAGTGTGACTATTTTGAGATAACCCAGGAGCAAAATACAGCAAACAGAGGTTTGTCTTTCAAATAGCAGTTTATCTACAAGGAATATATACATACACATACTAGGCAAAGTCAGGCAATCAATAGATCAACTATAGCACAGAAGCATACATGGAGAGATTCCCTCACAGGGCCTCTCTTACATATATACAGCCTCTTAAAGTCGTATCAGCACAAAAACCTTGCTGACTCATTCCCTGCCTTATATCATTGTAACAGCTGGTCAGCTCTTAAAGTATTTCTCTGACAGATTTGTATTGATATAGAGATTTGTATGAAGCTCACATTCAAATCTCAGCTTGTTGTTATTCAATCTTGTCTGTTTCACATGGCTGTTGTGGAGGTAGTACAACATTGTGAATAGGAGTGATGTGTGTGGGCAAATATGTAGGAATGTGTTGGAAAAAAGGTAAGCTAAAATAAATGAAGGAGTTAATAACAGGATATGCAAGAAACACAATGTGTGAACATTATTCAGGTTGGCTAACATTATTTTAGTAGTGTAAAATAGGTTTCCAACCAACAAAAATGGGCTTCACAAAACAATTAGCACATTCATATAGAAGCAAGACCAACAGGTTCAGGTTTCTACTTCATAAATGTGGAAGGGTTGCATCTCTATTCAGAATAGTTAGGTGTGCATAGGATTACAACTCACAGCCAAGCTGAACATTGTACACCTCCACAGATATTTGATGATCCAAAGCACTATGCCACTCAAATCCACAGTGATTCGGAACAATGAGTGTGCCTGAATTATTGCCCTCATATCCTATTTTGTGATGAACATTTTGTGGTTCAACTTACTGTGAGAACGTAAAGCATAATATTTTAGGATCTTGTGTGCACTCAAGCAACTTATGAAGTCACAATGTGGTTTCTTTGCTTAGACATGGCAGGCTATGTAAACATAATAGTGGTATTTTGTTGTGGTCGTCAGTATTTTGCACATTCTGTAAATTCATCTGCTGTTTTTACTCTTTAATCCAGCAGAGGTAGACGTGCCTTCCCAGGCAAATTTTCACTTAGCTTCTTTTAGCTTCATTACTTCCTACAAAGTCCCTGCCTCTCCTTATTTTTCTAAAACTTGATTTTTACTTAGGCAGAGCTGCCAAAGAGGGTACGGTTTCTTTTCAAACCAGCTGGGCAGAATGCCACATTGAGTCCTAAAGCATCAGCTATCCCTGGGACAGATAATTGGAAGGCGACTGCACGCTTACATTTTTGGACAATGTTTTGTTTGAACGAGTGATTAAAATCTACTGTCAATTATTGCATTGGTGTTCTGGGATTTGAAACCATAGTTTACCATTTATGTAGACGTCTGTGTAATTTGCTTGTGTCCACAAAGGAGACTTAATTCCTCCTTTTCAAATTGTTTGTTGGCATCTCTTGTGATATCATATATCCTCCCACCACTTGCACTCACATTCTTGATGTCAAATAGAAACCATCCTGCAGCAGAACAAAATTTGTTAACTTACATTGTCAACAATAGCATTAAGAAAGGAATGAGGACTATATGTTATGTTCTCCATTCTAAATCGGGTTAAGTAAGGACCGTGGATTGGGCTGCAAAAATCTGGACCACTCATAATGGAAACTGTAGAAATAGTGGATCACCTGGTTAGCTGCTGCAAGAAGATCACACAGACTGTGTTCAAACAATGGTATGACAATGGTGCATTGGAAGATCTGCAAGAAAATACCATTTGCCTGCAAGCAAGAAGTGGTGGGACCACAAAATAGCCAATAGAAAATGAAAAAGCTAAAGTGCTCCGGACCTTTAGAATTCAAAGAGACAAGCATCTGCCATATAACCATCCAGGCTTAAGAATTGTTTTTTTTTAAAAAAAAAGTTTTAAAAATAACAGAAGAAATTCCAGTTCAATCTCTTTTGTTTGGCTCCCCCCGCCCCAGCGTTTTTCCTCTATCAAATGTCTTCAGGCAGGCTGCCAGGCAACTGCCAGTAAAGACTGAGTTTCTCATAAAGGGACTGAACCTACCTAGAAGTTCATTTTATTTCACACCACACGGCAAATTAGCTTTCTTCCTAATTAAGGTTCAGTTTTATATGTGCTAATTGCCCTAGGTGCGCTTTAAACTGCACTTTAAATCTTTGATTAAATGAAGGTAATATTCATAAATCATGCCATGGAAGATTCCCCTCTCCCCCAAAAAATAGTGCTTTGACTTTCATTATGTATATCAATATATAAGAAAAAATATGAATGTAAAAAGAAACAGCTTTAAAGCAAAGGATGTTGTGGCCAACTAACAAATTCTTGTTACTTAAAGCAAGCTTCTCTAACTGGAATCCTCCAGTTATGTCAGAAGAGCAATCCACCAACATTTCAATTTAACATGGTCAAAACGCCAGTTGTCAACTCCATCATCTCTTGAAACTGCCAAGGTTAGGATCATCTGGTAAGGTCAATTTGATGTCTCCAATTAAGCCTACAAAAATATATACCAAATCATAGGCAAGCCAATATCTTCTACCATTCTCTTTTTCTCAATGTCAGACAATGATTTACAGTAAGATTTAGTAGAATGTTTAATTTTTAAGCATTTGTCTATTGCTATTATTTGATAGGGGCCATTATAAATACACCAAGAAAGCAGTTTGGAACAAACCACTGCCTAAGTTCTATTGCATTTATGTGGTTCCCTGGAAATCATGGCATTTCAATAAAAAAAAAATCCCTTTTTATGTTGCAGAAGGACTACACTGAGAAACAAACACATTTGGTTTTTCAAAGCATGTACATTTAAAATCAGACTCATCCAAGGATGTGGGTTCATCTTTTTAAGCCTCATCATGCTCATTTTGCCTTAAAAGGCAACTTCATGTCAGGTAATTATATCTAATAGTCCTCAGCTAGCTCCTGCTACTCAATCTGTTTCAGATAGCACCACAAAATAAACTCTTATTAGGCTTTGGCAAGTTTGGCTCTAGCAGTGGTTGAGTGCCATCTAGAGAAGGAAAGGTGAACTAAGTCATGCTAGAGAACAAGGGAAAGACAGCACTTGAGAATGCAATGCTAGGAAAACAGAACTGAGCTATAATATAGAGCTACAACAGTGAAACTGGTTGAATTTCTCAAATGTTAAAAAGTCAGTGGTGAACTATGTATCAAAACTTTGGAATTTGTTTATCAGGAATTATGGTTCTATCCAGGGTGGAGGCAGCTGAAGGAAACATGCTGAGGAATTGGAATGTGGTACTGTTCCAAGCTGTCAAGGAATGGTTGTCAAAAATGGGTGATCTATCTCTTTTGGAAAAGGTAGTATGTTCTACAAATCAAAACAATGCAGCAATATGATACTGTGGCAGACGTGTTGATATTACACAATCATATTTTATTACACTATAGTCATTTATAAACCAATAATGATCAATAGTCTGAAATGGCATTCTTTCAGAAATATTTCCTTACCAGATTCCTCAATACCTTCAAAAATGACAAAAATTCTAATGTACTGACTTTACTGGAAAAACTGAGATATAGTACCCATTTTGAAAATAGCCCATGTTGGAGAGCAGTCAAACATCCACACAATATGTTTCATGACATTTTATATTATGTCATAAACTGTTTTATGATCATTTTTCTGTCATAAAATACTGTGTTTTATAAAATTTAAATTCCAGTGTCATGGGTCCCCAATTTTGGATCCATTGTGTAAGTTAGCTCATTTGAGGCAGTTTGGTTCAAACATTATTGCCTTATGATGCACCACTTCGCTCAGTTAATGGTTACAGAAATAAGTGTTTTAGTATTATATAGATAAGGTATGAGGTAATTTTTTTTTCTTTTTTAGTTTGTATTTTTAGCTTGTTTGGGGATTCTCTTTTCTAATTTTTAAAATTAGCTTTAGATTGTGTGTAAAACAAATTAAGTGGAAGAAAAGACAACTAATTGAATTTCACTTACTTTAAAAATAAACCTTTTTCAGAGGTGCAAATCATGTTAGACTGGAATTTATAGGAGATTGTTTTTGTAATGAACTATTTACCTTAATGAGCAGAAAATCAGTTTTAGATAGTCATTTGGGTATGGAAATTGATATTCTAGTTTATAAGACACGATGGGTTATTCAAGTATCATTCACACCGATAAGAAGCATAGACTAAAGACCCGGGACAATGGCAATTTTCACAGCATCGTAACTTATTCCATGCTAATATCTTTGATCTAAAATGAAATGTTAATAAAAGAAACCAGAAAAGTAATCCCAGGCAGTCCAAAGTTTATTTCTCATAGGTAAGAAACAAAAGTATAATGGAAACCAAACTGCATGTATGGTATTGATTGTATATTATCTTTGTATGTGGTATTGCCTTCAACTTGGGATGAATGTTGGCAGCAGCAAGGTTTGCTCATTCCTAGTCTATGTCCTTCTTAGCCTTCATTCTCTTTGTAGAAATCTCTTTGCACCAGACCTTTCTCCCCCCCTCCCCAAATAGCAATCCAATGTTCCCCCTTCAAAATGACAGGTAGAGCAGTATAGCAATGTCCACAGGAATAACACTTTTTAAAAACAAATAATTCCACATTTAAAAAGTCATTCAAAAACAATCACAACGAACTGGATCATATACTAATTTAAAATCTTTTAAAATGGAATGAGGCAACAAGGAAGTCAGAAGGCAAGTCTAGAAATCTACAAATGGGAGCAATTCTGTGTCTTCCAGAATTCTCAGTATAAACATAATAGCAGTGCATCTCTTCAATTCAGCAGCAGTGAAGAAAACACTTGGATCTGACAGATCTGATTCAGAATACACAGCTTCCTTTATTTCTAGCAGCCTAAGTCTAATTGCCATGGAAAGTAAAGCACAAGTACATCATCCTTGCAGACAAATGATGCTTTGAGGCAACATATTTCATTAAAGCTAACCAATACAGAAAAGGCCATGAACGAAGACTTTTTCTGGATTTCTGAAAAGTGGAACAAAACTAACATGAAAGTGTCAGATCACAGATGTCTTTCCTGTCCCTGAAAAAGAGTTAATTAAGGAGTGTTTATCTAGTCAGCTTAGTCATGCATCTTTTAACATACCATATTTATATATTTTAAAAATATTTAGGCCAGAATCCAAGCCGCACGCTGAAGCATAACAAGAATGTGGAGATGCAATCACTGCTAGTGGTCTTCCAAAAGCATATCCCCAGATCCAACATTGCAGGAATTACCAAGAGATTGAAAAACATATCCCCATACATGGACCACTCCATCTCAGTGTTGGAGAATATTAACACAAACTCTAGTTTTGTAAGGTAGATATGGATGCCCATCCGGTGTACAATAAAGATACCCACATATGTCATCTATCAGAGGTGTGTCTGTATATTAAACTCTATTGTAAACCTAATGCCTAACTCTAGCAAGGTGAATAGGAATCGTGTTATTGAGTTTAGCAGAGCCATAATCCTGCATGTTCCAGTACCTGTAAAACAAGAAAGGCTCTTTGAAAAAGTGAAAATTATTAACCTCAAAATATTTTTTTGAAAAAGTTTCTAAGGACAGTAAAATTGACCAGCTTTGGGTCTTGAATATAAAGGGAGGAAACCAACTGGTCTGTCTTTCTGCAACTGACAAACAATAAAGAAATTGTGAGGGAACCGATGTTTGAGAATTATGTAAATATGTGTATGGAATGATCAGTTCACAATTTGCAAAATATGAATGAGAAACCAGCTTCAGTTGGATCCCCCTGCCCCGCCCCAACATGCAAAAATTTAGCAGAGTTGCAGTAAATAGGTTAAAGCAGTTTTTAATGCAAGGGTCACACATTTATGGGGGGGGGGGGGAAGGCAGCTTTCCATAGCTTAGCAGCTGCAGTGTGACTTATTCAAAAAAGCAGATCTTCTGTAGCACGTAAGGTGGTACGGATTGTGGTGGCCTTTTTCTATGTACAGTCCTTTGATTTGCATGCTGAAGCCTTTACAACAGATCAGACCTTGGGTGCATAGCCTGTGGCACTCTCAAAGCTAGCAATACCTCCCAGACAATGGCAAAGGTATGGGTTCTTGTTTAACTGATCACCTTGGACAAGACTCTTGCCATAATCTGCCCCACAGCCCACATGGGACACACAAAGGAAGCCAAGGCAAAGAAAATACAGAATTATTTCACTTCTGACATCTTAACATTTAATGCTTCATTTCTTTTTCAGGGAATGTCTAAGAATTGACATTAAAAGTTTATTCTATTATTATTTCCTAAGAAACAAAAAGGGGGGCGGGGGGGGGAATCCAGGAAGACTCTGTGTGAGTTTGTATATAGTGTTCCTTGTTTTCTTCTTTCTTTTTTTTTAAATAGCAATGCTGAATGGTGCTTTCCTGGAACAAGCACTTTATCAGGCCAAGGAGATTGTTGTAAAAGCATCAGCATGTATTTGGCTTTAAATCTATGGTCAAGTTTTACTATTATTGGTCAGGAGGCCAACATGATATACTTCAAAGAAGGAACAGTCTTATGTAAAATACTGTAGCCGCCAGAAAACAAAGGGCTATATGCTTACATAAATACCTGTTCCTATGTTAATAAGTACTGTATGGACACAATCCATACATAATAAGATTGTGAATTCAAGGCATTCAACAGAATTAAATATTATTTTAAAAACACTACAAAAATTTGGAATACGCTTTATAATACTCAGCAGTCTCAGACTCAAAAATGGAAGTGCTACTTGCTTAAAACTGAATATAGCACAGAAGGGCTTAGTTACCAAAAAAGCAAAGGCAGTATAGCAATCAAAAAGTTATGCTGAAGAACGCAAAAATGCAAAACAAAGGTAAAAACACACAGCCATGGGCATATAAACCAACTGGCTGACAGTTAACTTTGGATCATATTTCTCAACTAAACCAAAATCTTCATAAGGCCTTCTCACCCTACCACGGGGCCCCTCCAGAGCAAGCAACTGCTTTGCCTTTAAACCTTTTCAACTGTCTTGAGTGTCGAATGCAGAGAGTCAAGCCAATTAATGGCAAGGGACAGGCAGCTAATGATTTGCAATACACAGATGAATTCCCTCTTAACAAAGTCCAAGGCCTCCGATGACTGAAGAGTTTGTTCCCTTCAATCTCCTCCTCGTATCTTGTTGACCTTCAAGTAGGGAATTCAGATCCAGACCCAGACTTTCTTCTTTGCTCTCAGGCACAATTCTGGGAGAAATCTAGAAACTGACAGTCTCTCTTGCTCTCTTTCTTTCTTTCTCTGTCTCTTTCTTTATCTCTTGCCAACCCCATTCGTTACTTTTGTTTTTGAATGACGATTTCTCCTCCTGGATGAATGGCTGTCACTGTTGCTTGTGTGTTTGGGTGGACTGTCTTCCATTCCTAACAAGCAATCAGGCACATACACAAAAGCACATAAGAGATAATCATTTAATTTACTGTTTGGTTTGGTTTTTCAGTCAAGGGAAATTCTGGATTATGAATGCATATTGAAAGTTTAGTTGAAACCAACATGCCATCTAGTGGTTAAGCTGCCTTCTAACTAATTTTACAAGTCATGAAGTGAGCTGATTATTGTGGAATACTCATGCGGCTACCTTTTAAGCAACACCATGAAAGATCTGCTGAACCTTGAAAGGCCAAACTCCTGCTGGACAGATATACTTGGTGTAATTTTATATATTACCAAATTTTATATAATTTTAAATATCATGGTAATCCACATACATTTTAATTATATCACGTTTTTTTAATGTGTATGCAACAGTATATAACCTAGATATATTTTTCTCCTTTTAGACTTAACTCACAGTTCTAGACGGGTTTTTTTATAGATGTATTTTAAATATCATGTTAGGAATATATCAGTCCCATCACATATACAGGAGAGCATCTTTGGAAAGACGCCACTGGCATCCTTCAACTATCTAGAAAGGCTGAAACAAAAGGTGAATTCTGGTGCTCCCTTCCCTGCTCCTGTTAATGTAGGTATGGAAAATGCTTGAATGCTATGATGTTGAGAAACTACTTTAATCATTCAAAGGAAATTCTTTTTTCTCAGAGTTTTTCACATTGTTTTGGTGCAAAAACCTATTGCTGAACACGGATCCTTCTGCCTGTTGAACATGGGGCTACAGCAACTATTTAAATTATTAAGTATATTTCTAGCATCTTCGTATATTATTGCATAAAAGGTTTGGGAGTCACAATAACTCCAAAGGCCATGGAATAAGGTTTCTATACAGATGATAGATCTGACTGACCAGGAGCCACAAATGTTTACATAATAATACATTAGCCTTTAAAATTCCTCAAAATCTTCTGGAACTGACCTGATCAGGATAGTCCTCTAGAATTTCTCAATAGATAAAATAATGCATAGTTAGATACAGCTCTTGTTAAATCCCTTTAATTCTTGAGATAATTACAATAGACCCTAAGAAGAATATAGAAATCATCAGGCAGCAAAGGGTATGAAAGCAGATAGTGTGAATTCACAAGTGATTCATGAAAGTTTGAACTAAATGGAATTTTGGTGTTATTGATATGACAAACAAATATACCAGAGCAAGTGACAGTACCTCTAGTGATTTTAGGGTTATGCCAGGAAATATCCGGGATGTACAAACTATCTTCACTTTCTGACAATGTCTGTTGAGATAAATATAATAAGATATGTTTGATAATACTTGTAGCAAAGATACACTATAAGTTTAATAATTGAGATAACTAAGTTAGTATTTGGAATTCACTTTATTTCTTCTTCAAATATATAAATTTAATCAATGTGAGAAAGGAACCCTTACTCTCATCTGTAACTGTATGCAGATGACGAGGTTGAGCCCGAGGGAGGAGTCAAGCATGTTATAAGTCACAAGTCCCTGCACGCTCACAAGAGATCTAAATCCAGCCCAACTTGAATGTCTTAATTCCTGCTCATTTCCCTTGACTTCCCCTGAGTTAGTAGCTCAGATTCATGTAGAGAGTTTAAGCTTGCAATAAATCTTTATACTCATTTGAACTGCCTAAATCTCCTCTTGACCACAATCCTGTTTGACATCACCTTTTGCCCTTCTGTTCAAACACAGATCACTGATCATTTCCTCTCTAACTCTACTCTGCAAGAAAAAGTACGTGGAATGCAGAAAAAAAAAAACCAAAGGCAGATTTAGACCTAAGAATTCTGCCTCAATCACAGAAGAGAGCTCAGAAATGGTGAATTTGCATGCACATCAACCAAATAACCATTTTCCTCCATTTTTGTAGTGTAGTCAGGAAGTTAAAAGCAGAGAATGAGAGCAATAGCCCTCTGACTATTGCTCCTTTGTTGCATATTGTCGCTGAACATTTTTATTTAATGCATGTATAATCTAGTCTCCCTTCCCCAAAATAGTAATAAAAATAAATTAAATTTACTATCAAATTATGTCTCTATATGAAAGTTCGCCTAAATGTTGACAAGTTATGGCTAACATATTTTAACATGTTTACCCAGAGGGCAACAGTCTATAATGCAAGAAATCTCTTAAGCCAAGTTTAGCATTTCCAAAGACATTACCTTTTCTCGTCCGTAATGGTCTCCATACCACACCATCCCATACAAACACAGAAAAGTAGTAACCGCCTATAACAGAAGAAAAAGAAGATGGCCTTGAGTTGTTCTTTTAATACTTATTTTTAAAGGGAATTTATGCCCAACCTCTGATCGTATGACATGGCTTGCTAAAAGAGACAATGACAGTATTAAAAATGGAGGTCCTTTTCTACAGCAGTCAGAAAAACTGCTAATATTGCAACAGTTTTTTAAAGTAATGTGCACTTTTCCTTGTCTGACCTTGCTTTTGCTAGGTAATAAGGCTTCTTATGTATGTGTAGAACTATGTTTGAACCTAAAGTCATTTAAAACACTGAAACAAATACAGGACACTGTATTGCAACCCTTTATACTGATTTCAATATTGTCAGATGTTTTATGAGCACTGATTTTTGTTCTCTGTGCCATGCAAATATATTTGGACAGCTAGCTTTCTAAATAAGTTAAGTCAAAATCAAGACTGCCTGTTAGAACAGATTCAAGAGAGTAACACAGACTAGAGCTTTGAAGACTGGTTACAAATCTACTTTTTCTGGACAAAGCCCTCATTAACAGAGGAGTATCTGGTTTCACAATGCTGGCAATTCTGTGCTTTGAATGCGCAACTGCTAAAATGAAGAATGCGACTGAGAGACTTCACAAGGGCAACAATATGACAGAAGCTTTCTATACAACTGCACCACTATGCAGATATTCAAGAAGGAAAGCTGCAGATTGTAAGGTCTGTACTGGAAACCAGAAGGAAAGATCTTATTTCCAGTGAAAGAAATCTCATTCTGATCTCCTGCTGGCTTTTGGTGCCAAATTTTGGAATGATGCTGTGAATGCTCTCATAAAATGGCTATCAGGATGGACTTAGTTTACCATGAAGAAACAATCTTTACAAAGCACAGATTTATCAGACTTCAGTAGTACCAATTTATTTTACTCCTGCTTATGTTATTACCTGAAAAAAATATAAATAGGGCTATGATTACATTTTATAAATTGTGTTGATCATGACTTCGATCCAAATAATTGATTACCCCTTTCATTGTAAATGTTTGCATTTTGGCCTATAGACTGTTGTATTTTTAATTTTTATTCTTATTTATTGTTTTTTAAATAATAAGCCACTCAGAATCTGCTTTGTGGTAGGATGTAAACATATAAATAAATATTGAAGAAATAAAGAAAATCTTTGTATACATAAATTTCAAGAGCAAATATAAGCAGGTTTTTGCATTCTTGTTGTTTTGAATTCCCACAATTCCTATCCTGCCTGGAGCTGAACAAAGTTGAAGTATAAAATATCTGCAGGATTTATTGTCTTTCATCCTGTCACATGGGTCTTTCCCTGTTATGTGAGAGAATGAATATTTGGTGACAGAATGTGCCATTGTAGGTGTTGGTCTATATTAAACATTACAATCTTATTATGAATTTGTCAGCATGTATTTAGTAAAAAAAATCTAGTTATTTTGCTATTTAGCCATCTTAATTAACGAAGGCAACTGAAAAAGGTGCTATTGAGACAAAAAAGTGTTTCAGTGGAACAACACACCTATCTAAAATAGGTTATTGCTATCCTAGCAAAATTTGATATAACATTTACCTATAGCAAGGGAATAAAAATAGCATTTTTCCTGGTTGTAACAACTAAGGAGTTAAAAACAACTTGTCTTAAATAGGCATGTGATTTCTGGGGGGTATTATTCCAGTAACTCTGCAAGATGCCAAGTTAAGAAATTGGGTTAAAATATAAATGTGTACAACCTAAATGAAAAAAGATGCACTTACCACACAAAGAAACCAAAATACAACATACAATATTTGTGTTTTGGAGAAGAGATCTTGACCAAATTTGATGCACACAATAGCTTCAAGGAAACCAATAACTCTAGAGGGATGACAAAAAAATAAAATAAATCAAAATATATTGAATTTCTGTTTGAGACTCTATTTACCCTAACAATCTCAACTTATTTTTGGCGTATTTTGAGAAACATTTCTCATCACTGTCATGTTATGAATTAGAAAGCAAGATGCAGGGATCAGCCAAAAAAATACATCGCACAACTAATTGGATCACAGTGTTTTATACTGAGCTGGCACTGCTTTTTTTCTTTCCTTTTCCTTCCTCGGTATACTTTCTCATAAGTTTATGTTGGCCTCTTTCAGTGTTTTAACAATGTAATATTTTCTCGCTCTGTAATGAAGCTAAACTATCTATACTGACCAGAATATTCATACCCATTTTTAAAACCTCTCTTCTTGATTTTCAATAGATGCCAATATAAAGAATCTGCTTTTCTTCTTCTGATGAAGTCTGCCAGGACAATAAAATCAAAAACAACCAGTCTTGAGTTCTGTAGGCCATTTGTCCAGGAATTCCAATGCCTAGCGCAGTCTTCTTGTTGTTGGCAAAGATCCCATCCAGTATGGGTTTCTGTAAATTATATCTCACTGTACTGTTTATGGGAGAGACACTCTTTACCTGACTCCTCTGATGTGACCTGTCCAGTATGGTTGAGCCTCTGGCATAACTCTCATCTACTTTACAGCAAATAACCACGTGAAGATAGTATCTCACTGGGAGATTACTGTTGTTATTATTATTGATTGTTTTATCATATACTACGAGCTGCCAAGAGCTTGCTAACTAGACTGCCTCACCTGTCAAAACATTAATTTGGTCTAGCACCTCTCCATTCTACATCATTTTAAAATCATTGATACTATCTAACAAAGATTCACTCCAGAAAGCAAGAATATTCTTTGACGGTGAGTCTTTTTTTCTATCTTTTTTTGTCAGAAGAATGAGTAATAGCTATTCTGAATATACTGACACAAGGCCCTGAGGGTAGATCAGAACAAAGCAAGTGATGACAGAAAAATGTTTCCAATTACCTCACGCCAGCTGAAGAAATCAGCATGTTTCTACCATATCTAAGCTTTTCCAAAAGGCCAGAGCATGCTGATTTGAACCCTGCTATTTCTGTAACTTCATAATATGAAAATCTTTTGAAAGGGTAACGTATTTTAGATGGGTATTGTTTCCTTTCCTCTCTTGTATTTGCATGCAAGAAAGAGTATAATGATTTCAAACAACAGTCTGAAATAGGTCTAGATATCACACAATTCAGCCCAAGATTTCACATCTTTCTCCAACAAATGAGAGGACAGTTGGAGCATCCAACAAGCAGCAGAAACCTATCCAGGTTGCTGGGCTGCCCTCTTCTTTAGCAACTGAAGTGGTTCCAAAAAAGAAAGCCAAATCATATACTCTTGAAGGATATTTGGGAAAGGAATTCTTCCTCAAAGCTCAAAGGGTGGGTTTTTATATTTTTGCTGAAATCAAAACTCTGTTACAGTCCTCCTTACAAATGAGTACAGTACATAAAAGTTAACAGCAGAAAAACTACAAGTGTGAGAACTACAAACAGAAGTTTGACAAGGGGGCTGGATCATCCTCTCCTTCCTGCAGCCACTTACAGACATGGAAAACTGTATCTGGAGAGTCAAATGACTCCTCAGCATGGTATCCAATGGGGAATAGTAGCATGGAAAAAGGAAATTGCTCAAGCTATAAACGTATGCAAAAACACAAAGTGAGTGTTATCCTATCTCCACAGGCCTTAGAATTCTTCTTTATGCCATTGTAGGTCATACGGACACTACAAAATACATACACAAGAAGTAAAGTGAAGTATAGTGTCGTAAAATATCTTATTCACAAGAAACTTTCCAACCACATGATTTGAGGGGAATTGTTTCCTCTTCTTAATTAAATAGATTCACAGATCGTGAATTGTTTTTAATTATGGTATATTAAATAAACTACCATTAATAGTTTATAAACTATGTTTTCCAAACTGGAATGACCAAGCTTATACAATATGCTAGGCCAAAATCATCTGGTGGCTTAAAACAATACATGAACCCAGCCAGAAAGTCAGATAATCAGAATTTCAAGAATTCTATATTCAACAACTTACCCAAATACCCAGCACTGAGTTCCTACTCTTTTGCACTGTGTGTCTGTGAGATAAGCATAGTACTGCCTGTAACAAAACAACAACAACAACAGAATAATGTTTTAGAGAAATAGACAATGGCATATTAACTGAAAATTATTTAACTGGTTGCCTGTAAATCCGTTTTACAGGTAAAATTACGACTATTTTTTCAATGACTGTTTGAAATTACAGCCGTGCTGAACAAATGGCACTTATGCCTAGTCCTGAAGGTATGGCTTTTGCCGTGCCCCTGTGGTCACATGATCAAAATTTCGGGGCTTGGTGGTTCCCTGCAGGGACGCTTCAACTCTTCCACACATCTCCTCCCATCTCTGCCCTTTTGCCCTGTACTGCAGCCAGCCACAACAGTACTAAGTCCCTGCCGCTCTGCACTCCACAGGCCCTGCTATGCCCAACTGACCTTAGCCATCTTTCTATCTCTGCTGATGAGAAGCATCCAGCTTGATCCTATGTGAGGCCATTGCTGGTCAGGCCAGGCCGTTTTCCTTCCTCCAACAACAACTTGTGTTGTTCTCCAAACAGCATGCCCCACTATCTCACTTCAGAGAGTCTTTGGAATATATCTGAAGTCTTCTGAAGCATCACAAGAATGGGATGTGCTATGTGGAATGCTAGGCCGCATTTATTTATAGGATCAAATCAAAAACTTAAAAATAAAGAACTATTAATGTTAGCCGCCAAATTAATAATGCTGAAAATGTCTAGATAACATGTGATTTGTGCATTAATAAGACCTCTTCAACTGCTACATTAGGAAAAGGTTTTAGAATGGGAATTTTAAATTTGGCCAAAATTGAATTATTTTAATATGGTTTTTAAATTTGTCTTATATATTGTTTTATTATGGCTGTTCACCACCCTGAGTCCTTCGGGAGAAGGGCGGTATAAAAATATAATAAAATAAAAATAAATAAATAAATAAAAGAATTTCATACAAATTAATGAGACATTATATCAATCTTGGATGGTTTTTATGATTTATCTCAATAGCAGTAGACTATAATCTGGTATATGCCATACATACGGCAAATTTTCAATTGTATAATACCTGTCTCTTTATTTACATTGCGGTAGATCTCTTTGGCATTCTAGATATGTATGCTAAACCATCATTAATGTTTTTTTTTCTGTAGCAGGCTTCCATCTCTACATATGAAGGAACTAGGTAAAGATGAACGTAAAACAGCCAAAAATTACCTCACAGTTGGCGCTGTAATAATTCCAATGAAGAGAATTCTACACCAGCTTAAAGGGTGACTTGCTTGAAAAACAAATATATGTTTCAAGAAAAAGGTGTTCAACTCAGTCAACTAAAAAGAAAGGCAGAGAGAAAAATCAATATATTCATCTGGACAAACAAGACAAAAATAGAGCCATAGAACAAGTTTGACTTGTTCCAGAACAATAATATATACTTAGATAATAAATGCATAGCTATTTAGTTATATAGTGACTTGGTTAGCTAATATATGGTATAAATGAAATCAACATATACAGCACTTATGTAGCAGCGAATGAAGAATTTGCATTTTATTTCTCTCCATTAGAAGAATGAGATTTTAAATCGTCCCATTTTACTGATAAAAGAAAACACTTTTACTAAGGAATTGTGAAATTATAGATGTTCTGAAACAATACAAAAATTGGCTGATATGGGAGGGGGATGTGCCCGAGACTGGAAGCCCCATCCAGGTGGGATGCAGGCAGCGCACGAAACCATGCCCCCTCCGGTACATGGAAAAATTAAGATTAAGAATATAAATCTTCAATTTTTGCATAATAAAAGTAGGAATAAATACACATTTGTGGAAAAAATAATAAACATTCAATCATTTTAGGAAAATGCTAAGTAGTTGCATGTATTACGTAAATACAGTATTTAAGTACAGGTAGCATTGCTTCCTGTATGAATAATTTGTGTACTTAGCTGACCAAGTCAGCAAATTATCTCACAAGGATCTCATAATCTTATTATTTCTTTTGTAAATACATTTCCCTTTGTATTTATCTGAAGAGAATTCTCAGGATTGAATCATTCCTTATATGCACATCTATGGCACTCCTGCTTTTTAAGAAATATATGTATATCTAACAATTCCCTGGAATTCAGGCCAGCAAATGGTATTATTTCATTTGGTTATGCATTAACAAAACAAATATAATCTGCTCCCCCGCAAAACATCAGCTAAGATGCCCTAAGCCTTCATTTGTATTTTACCTGCCATATGATCATGAAAAGGTATATCCCAGCTACACGTTGAAAGGAGGACTTGGGATCAAACCAGCGAACGTAGGTCCAGCTTGCTGGAGTGAACTGTAAAACAGCTCTCTTGATTTTACCTGTGGTGGTGTGAATGTCCCTAAAAGCAGATAAGGAGAAGATCAATGTTGTATTTTTGCTTAACAATCATAATTCAAAATGGTGTTATATATTATATATATTATGATATTGTTACAGACTTAGGTCCTTTAATCCATTAAGCAAGCAAGCAGTTTTCTCAATAGAAATTTGCAATAAAATGCTCATTCGCACAAAGGATTTCCTCCCTAAATATATCAAAGCCCAAAGAACAATTCCCTACGTTACTCAAACACACACTTTTACTAAACAATACCACTTTTTAAAAATTGCTTTCGAAGAAAAGGATTTGAAAATTCTAGGCCTTCCCACACAGTTTTTATCATTTGACAGATGCTCTTAGAATTAAGAATTAGAATTAAGGATAAGTGAATAAAAAGTCAGTGATTATATCAATGTGAATGTTAGCATTTGCAGAAATTTCTATTTGCTTTTTATGTACACAAACAGTTTCCAAGTACATTTCAAGAGCCATATGTGAGGTTCCATTTCTATTCTACAACAGCAACTTTCATTCTAGACTCTTTCAATTTTATACGACTTTCCAGTCCTGCATTCATATTCCTGATCCTGAAGATCTGACATCCTCTGGAACAGCAACAGTGTGGCTGAAGGAAGTGAAATTTCCCCTAAATTACCAGGATAAGAAACTTGAAAATATTCCTTCTTAATGTCTTTCACTATACCTGGGGCATAAAAATAACTAAGGATATCCACTATTATTTTTGTACTTGTCACAATGGCATTCAGGGAAATTTCTCCCTTTTATTTCTAGCAGGACACAATCAATAATAAAACTTCAAACACTAATTTGAAAATCATCTTTCTGCATTCTAGGAACAACAACATGAAATCAATTTTACTTCAAACTCTATGGATTTACTGTTACATGGATAAATGATTGTATAGTTACATAGTTGAGAAGTACTTCAAGAAAGACAGATCTGTTCTTCTAATTCTATTGCCAGGATAAAATACAAGGATTGTAACCAGAAAGGAAAATAGATAAAACAAAGGATCATATAAATGGAAACCATTTTTTTTTTCAGGCACAGCTCTCAGAAGATAACAATAAGTCATTTTTTAAAAAATGCTCTTACACCAAATTCAACATGGAAACAAACAGGAAACATGGGAAACCATTTCCTAATTTCACCCTTCAACGGTATACTTAACAATAAGCAATATGAAACAATTCATTTTCATGCTCCAAGTCCGATCCCACAGACTTAATCATACAGTAGAAAGGACTTCCTTGAGTCCACTTATTGTTTGCTATTACCACCTCCTGCAATAATTTTTAATTTCTCAATGTAGCCTATATTTCTAAGATGTTCTGGTTGTCTCTCATCCAAGTTATATTCAGGTTTCATGTCTATTTATCTTTTACCAGGACCAGCCTCAATCAGCTAAATCAGGGGTGTCAAACTCGCGCCATCACGTGACGTATTGGGACTTTTTTCCACTTTGTTAAACTGGGCGGGGCCAGCATGTGACGCATCTGGCCCGTGGGCCATAAGTTTGACACCCCTGAACTAACTTCTAATAAATTAAAAACTAATAACAAAGGTTTTTTTTTTCAAAATTTCTTAAGATTACTCATGCAAATGAATCTGTAGGTAAGTCCATATCTCAACATCCACTGGTAGATATAAGTGGAAAATCATTCCAAATTACAATTCCTAGCGCAAGTACATGTAGTATTTTCAATAATACAAAGAACATAAACATGAGCTTGAACACATCTATTTAATGGCCTATAATTAAATTATCCCTATAATTGGCAACTTTCACTATACAGGTAGTCCTTGACTTACAACAGTTCGTTCAGTGACCGTTCGAAGTTACAATAGCATTGAAAAAATGCTATTGACTTATGGCTGTTTTTCACACTTATGACCACTTCAGCATTCCCATGGTCACGTGATCAAAATTCACACATTTGGCAACTGGCTCATATTTATGACAGTTGCAGTGTCCTGGGGTCATGTGAACACTTTTTGCGACCTTGTGACAAGCAAAACCAATGGGGGAGCCAGAGTCACTTAACAATTATGTTGCTAATTTAACAACTGCAGTGATTCACTTAACAACTGTGGGAAGAAAAGTCGTAAAATGGGGCAAACCCACGTAAGAAATGTTTGCTTAGCAACAGAAATTTTGGACTCCATTGTGGTTATAAGTCAAAGACTACCTGTATTCCTATGAAACTCTGCAATATAATATCTCATTAAAACAATGTGTATTAGCTAGTACTTGAGACCTACTTGAAGCTTGCCCAGTGATAAGTCCTCATCTCCAACCAACGGCAAACCACCATGCCCAACCAGATGCCACCTCCATTACATAATAGGATGTCCAAAATAACTTGATCCCACCAGCATTCAGCAAAATTCGGCAGCAGATGCATGAAGAACAGCTACAGAATACAACAGAAATTTTGATAAATTCATTCTTATTCCTTTTAACATAAAAAAAACCAGATTTTGAAAATATGGGAAAGATTTTAATACAATAAATGAATGTGACTAAAGGCCAGCCTATGATTTCAGAAATAAAGGAAATATATTATATTTGAATTTTAAAGACCCACTGCGTTCAAAAAAGAAGATAACAATAATATATTGAGTTTTATACATACACACAAATGTATGTATGTAGGTATACCAGGAGTGAAATGCTACCGGTTCGGGTCGGTTTACCCGAACCGGTAGTAAAAAATGCTACTGGTTCGCTGAAACCAGTAGTAGTAAAAAATGTCAAAAAAAAATGTAAAAAAAAAGACATCACATGTCGCTCAGCTGATCATCGGAACTTTTTTAAAAAAACCTTTTTTAGCATTTTTTTACTACCGGTTTGGGCGAATAGGTAGTAAAAAAATGCTTTAAAAAAGTAAAAAGAAAAGGCTCCAATGATAGATGTGCCACATGATCATCGGAGACTTTTTTTTAACTTTTTAAAAGTTTTTTTTACTACCCGAGCCAGTAGTAAAAAATGCTTTTAAAAATTTTTTTAAAAGGTTCCCACGATCACGTGCCACAGCTGATCACACACACCTCCAGCGCTGTTCTACTTACCTTCCCAAGCCTCTTTTTGGTGTGCACTGCGCATGTGCAGCTCGTGTTTGGTGAGTACTGTGCATGTGAGCACACAGCGTGCGTTTGGTATGTGGCGCGCATGCGCGGCCAGAAAACCGGTACTAAACCGGTTCAGATTTCACCACTTATGTATACACACATACGTTTAGTCTTGCCATAAATTATCATATGGTAATGATAGTTTATTTATTTAATGCCCTAAAGACAAACGTATTGTATTTTCAACAGTGTTCTATCCTTTTATCCATGGTATACCAGTAATTCACTGATTACCGTGGAAAAGGTTTGAAGGCTAGCTTCTGTATAAACCTGGATTTAATTCAATTAATTTAATATGCAGATGGATAACATAGAATATACTACCGTAGTAGTTAATATTGCACTCCTGTTATAAGTCTCAATATGCTCTAGAAAATAAGATTTTAACAAGTATTCAGAAGAAAAGATTGGGCACTTGGGAAGGATGTGTCAGAAATTCTTATAATTTAAAGAGCCACAGATTTTTTGAGACCTCTGTTGGATAAAATCACTTGGAGCTAGACTGTTGAGTTCAGGAATGAACCTGCTGAGTTGGCTTTAATGTGATCTATTGGACTACACTAAGGCACTTTATGCGGGACGTGGTGGCTCAGTGGCTAGGACGCTGAGCTTGTCGATCGAAAGATCGGCAGTTCAGCGGTTTGAATCCCTAGTGCCACCTAACGGGGTGAGCTCCTGTTACTTGTCCCAGCTTCTGCCAACCTAGCAGTTCGAAAGCATGTAAAAAATGCAAGTAGAAAAATAGCGACCACCTTTTGTTGGGAAGGTAACAGCGTTCCGTGTGCCTTTGGCGTTTAGTCATGCCGGCCATATGACTACAGAGACGTCATTGGACAGCGCTGGCTCTTCGGCTTTGAAACAGAGATGAGCACTGCCCCCTAGAGTCGGGAACGACTAGCACATATGTGTGAGGAGAACCTTTACCTTTACCTAAGTAACTTTAGCACAGGGCTGTCCTTGAAGAATACTCAGATCTGCAGCTGTGCCAATTCTACAGAAAAGAATTATTTATTTGGCACATAAACTAGCCATAGGGACTTCACATTTACGTCACATATATGTGTAGGTATCATATATGAATTTCTTTCCTTTATAAATGAAAAGGTGGACACATTTTGCCACATCAGACTCAGGCTGCCAAATATCTGTTCCTCCTAAGAGACAGGATAGATAATAGAGATTTCACTCCAAAGAAACCCCTTTTATCCCAAAGGTGCTTTTCATATCCTTTTATTTCTGCAACTGGTCTACGGTCTTAGTTGCAATGCAGCTCACAAGATTCTTTGGCACATCCAAACATCAAGTCATGGCAGGTGCCCTGTGCATTCATCTTTTTTTCAGTGCCTATTACCCAACCTACCTCTGTCAGCTCCCAGGTGATGCTAATAGTCCAACACAGTCCATAGCTGCGAATCAACAAAGCCTTCATTGCCCAGCCCCAGAAATGTCCAAAAGCAAATATGTCAAAATGACTTAGGATTCGTTCCCAGGTAATAACATGGCAATTCACAGCATATTCCTGTTGATGATTATAGAGAAAGGATGTAGAGAAGAGAGACAAATAAGGCAACAGACACCAACATTTATTTTAGAATAATTTTAGATGCAATAGAATACACTATTAAAATACATTCTTTTCAGTAGCTCAGCCTTGTTCAGAAACTCAACTATGTAGTAGGATAACATCATGAACAATTAGACAAAATTGACTAAGATGCCTCTTTATACAATATTAACTGACACATTTGCTCATAAAATAGAAACATGGCTTTAAAAGAAAAAGTGTGAGGATTAATCTAAATAATTCTGGCTATGACTAACAAAATTCACACCAAAATAAACTAGAGTCTTGACCAAAAATAATTATTCTTATTCTTAGATAAGATTAGGTTGCAAGTCAACCCTGCCAAGGATGGGAGATTTTCCATCTTTGGTCCTGGATGGATAATTCTGCCCTGTTCAGACTCAGTACACAATCTGAGGGTCCTCCTGGACTCACAGCTCCTGCTCAAAGCTCTTTTGGGTGGGTGGGTGGGGGCTTTGCACAACTGTATCACATGCACCAGTTGTACCTATTCATGGCCTGCAAGGCCTTGTTTATGATCACTCTTGCCTAAGTCATCTCCTGATTGGACTATTACAATGCACCCCATATGGAGCTGCTCTTAAGGATCATCCAGAAGCTTCAGCTGGTCCTGAAGGCATCGGCACAGGTAGTAATGGGCACAGTTCTCTATATTCATGTGACACTGATACTCCATGAGCTGCACTGGCTCTCAAAAGGCTTCAGAGTGAAATTCAAGGTGCTGATCACCTTTTCAGTCCTATATGGCAGAGCTGTCAAGCTCCTGGCCCGTGGGCTGGATGCGCCACGTGCTGGCCACGCCCATGCCTGGTTTAGTGAAGGGGGGGGAAGTCCCAATACGTCACGTGACACTGCTGTGATGACGTTTGATACCCCTGCTATATGGCATAGGACCAAATTACCAGCAGGATCACCTGCACCCAAGAACATCTGCCCAGCCTTATGCTCCCATAGGGAGGGCACGTTTCTCATGTGAGCATTGCTATTTAATGGGACCTAGGAAATGGGCTGTCTTAGTGGCTGCCCTTCTGCTCTGAAATTATATTTCCTCCTTGAGATATGATAGGCCCCAGCTATGTTCACCTTTAGAGAAGCTGTTAAGATCTGGCTTTTCCCCAGGTGTTTGGTCCAATTCAGTGGAGTTCCCTGTTATATGGTTTGGATTTTTTTTTCTGTTTGTTCATAGTACACCACTCAGAGTAACATTGTTTTATGTTGGGCAGCCCTACAAATAAAATAAAATAAAAAACCCACCAAACCGGCTACAGATAAATGTCTTTTTTCCTGCTTTCAGGTCGGCAGTCTTTAAACAGAGAAAGGCACTAAAGCTGCCGGTATCAGAAATCTGGCATCCAGTGGAATACTGCTACTAAGGCTTAGCAAAGATATATAACAGGTGCCTTCCAAATGTACTGCTTGAAGCACTAAGATGCTTGGTTCTCTTGAAAAGTGGGCATAGCTGCTTCAAAGGCCATCTCAAACATACATTGCAGGTATAGTGCACAACTATACATGCAAGGAACACTGGCCACAGTGGAACTATGAGAGATGCAACACTTAAACACTTGCAGAAGTAGATTCAGAAGAATGCTTCACTCAGCCCCTGTAGACTTAGTTGTTACTTTTATTAGACGCAACATGCCTTCAAGTCTACAATCCATCCATCAAAAAAATGCCAACCACATTTTGATTTTGAAAGCAGAGGATATATTTGACTTAGCTCACTGAATATGCTCCTAAATACTATTCTTTGTCGTTCCTCTGATTTTAGTTATTCCTTCTGGTATCCCTTTACATGAAAACAATACCACTAAATGTCTAAACCAGGGGCGTCAAACTCAAGGCCCGGATTTGGCCTGTGGGGTGCTTAGATCTAGCCCTTAGAGCCAGCCTGGAAACAGCAAAGGATCGGCCTGCGGTGCCTCTGCCAGTGTAAATGGAGCTCAGGGGGGCCATGCACTGCACCCGGGCTCCATTTTCATTGACAGAGGGCTGCAGGAGGCCATCATGGCTGAAAACGGAGTGCGGGGAGGCCATGCACGGCCCCCTGGGTTCCGTTTTCGCTGGCAGAGGGCTATCAAAAGGAAGGAAGGAGATTATGAGAGTGAGGGACGGTCTCAGGAAAGCCCTGTTTTACCATTTGGCCACCACAGGTGCCCCCAACACGAGTCCTGTGTCACGCCCACCCTGGCCACAGCCACCCCCAGCCCTCCGAGGTCAAACACAACCTTGATGCAGTCCTCAATGAAATTGAGTTTGACACCTCTGGTCTAGAGCCTCTAGACCTTCCACTACATTCTTGTTTTTTTTAATCAAATGATCAAAAGTCAACGTGATATATGTTGTGAGGATTCTGAATTATTTCCTAATTCTTCCAAAAGATTCAGGCATATTTTGTTTCTTATACATCCATAGAATCATAGAGTTGGAAGAATTGGAAAGTCTTCTATCCAAAGACCTGCTGAATACAGGATTCACTCTTGCAGATGATCATACAACTTCTGTCTGAAGAGATTTCACCACTTTAGATGTGGCCTGACAGCTGATGCAGTCAGGAAGTTTCTCCTAATTCTAGCCTGATTTTGCTTCCTTGTAGTTTTAATCCATGGGTTCTGGCTGCCCTTTGGGGGAATTAAGAATAATTCCTTCTTCTGTGCAACAACATTTCAGATATTTCAAGACTGCTATAATTTCTCTTCCTTAGTCATTGTGGGTTTTTTTTGTAAACTAAGCAAACACAAAACCTCTAACCACTCCTCATAAGCCTTGGTTCCTAGCCCTCCTCTGAATGTGATCCAATTTGTGACTGTCCTGTTTGAATGGTGATGCTTCCAATGGAGTTTCACCAGGGCAGAGCAGAGTAGAATACTTACTTTCTGTAATTGGGACTCCATGTTCTTTTTAATTATCCCCAAATAGTATTTGTCTATTTAGCAGCAACTTCAAACTGCTGGGTCATGTTTGTCTACTGCTGCTAACTCACATGGTACTACGAAGATCAAGATACCAAAATGTTCATTACACACTAGCAGTGTACCCACCATAATGTCTGCTTCTCTTGTTGCATATCGTAGGTTGGGATCCAACCAATACATCACCGATTTCACTTGTTCAAAGTTAAGGAAGAGCAGGAATACCAGAAACAGAAAATAAAGTACACTCAAACCTAAAAGACAATAATACTTTTGGTGAATGGCTATTTAATGTACCACATGCAAAGGTAATATGCAAGCATACACAAGCAAAGTTCATCAGGAAAAAAAAAAGATTAAAATATTTCAGTCTTAAGGCTCTTAAATTAAGCTTCTGTATTTTTATACCAACTCACAAGGTCACAGATTTTCTATATGCAATGTGAAAAGAGAATAAGAAAGAAAAGGGAGCTTAGCAAAACATACAGAAGTATGAATACTAAGAGAAGAAAAAAGAAAGGGGGAAAGAAAATATGAGGTAATAAGGGAAGAAAGAAAAAGTCATTGACTTCCGACTCTTCTTAGCTCAGTATAAGATAACAACATCCAGGGCTGTGGAGTCGGGAGATAAATGTTCCGACTCCGACTCCTCAGTTTTTTGTACTTCCGACTCCGACTCCAGGTACCCAAAATTTCCTCCGACTCTGACTCCGACTCCACAGCACTGTCAGGGCTATGGAGTCGGGAGATAAATGTTCCGACTCCGACTCCTCAGTTTTTTTTGTACTTCCGACTCCAACTCCAGGTACCCAAAATTTCCTCCAGATACCCAAAATTTCCTCCGACTCCTCGACTCCGACTCCACAGCACTGATTACAACCTCAACTTAGTTTTACTAGTTAGTTGTAAACTAAATAACTTAGTTATTTAGTTAGTAAATAACTTGCCATTTCTATAACAACAGATCTATCTAATCGGCAAAATCAAAGTCAAAGTTTCAATTTTTTTTTCATCACAGACATAAAATCCAGAAGTGATATCCAAATAAAAAAAACATAAATATATTTTTCTCTTTGAATAGAACAATCAATTTAATCATTACTCCTATTTTTATTTTTATCTGTATTTTATACATTGATAAAACAATAAAAGTTATATAAGGAAAAGAAGTATGAGCACTACTCTGATTATTTGTATAGCTTACTCATAGTCCTCAATCACATGACAATTCTGCTAGGTTGCTACCCAACTAATTACCAAGGAGAAACTGGACAAGGTGAGAAGGATCAGATACAAATAGAAAGGCAAACATTTGGAAAGAAAGAAGTCAAGAGCTATAATCCAGCTATAGATGTTTCATTTGCCTGAAGATTATGTTCTTTCAAAAGGAACTTGACACTCAGCAGGTCAAGTCCTATTTTCCAATGTCCATTGCAAAATTCTCACTAAAGTGACAATACATAAAAGCCTTCCACTGCCATCTCTCCGTCTAACACTAATCCGGTATCATGTCCATTCTCTTATTATTTCATGTCCAATGTTCCTTTTTAAGAAATCCAACATGCTCATGCTCGGTGATGCTTAAAAGTTTGTGACTCCTTCTGAATTTGAATTTGACAAAATTGAAAGGACTAAAAGCCTATAATGTTTAAGGAGGATCTTAATTTATAAAAATACCAATTTTAATAAAAAAAACATCCAAGTATAAATTAATCTCCATTTTTTTAACCCTTGCTACTCTTGGAGCTGAGTTTTTATTTTAAATATCAGCTGTATTGTGAACCACTTTTAAACATTTTTTACACTTAGACTTTCAGAAAGTATGTTATGTTTCAATGATTATATTGCATGCCATTCAGTGAACTTTTAGAAGAACCGGGTACAAGTAAATTATTATTGTAATCTATAAAAATATTCAATAGAAATTAATGTGTGAATATGTTATGTAAGTACCATCACAGTTGGAGCCTGCAAATTGTCTTATATGATGAATTATTCTAAAGCTGATTCCAAAAATTCTAATTGGTTTTATTTATTTATTAAACAAATTTATATGGCCACCCAACTCACAAATTGGTGACTTCTTTTCTTAAGAACATTAAGATTTTAAAAAGGAAAAACTTTCTCACAATACCTGAATATTATAACATACCTCTGCAGTAACACAGAGAGGATAAAACATATTTTACTACAAAATCGATTGTTGAAAGAAGATACACAGAGATCTGTAACAATTGCAAGTTATACCTTGAAAATGACTTACCAAATACCATGCGCCATAATGCAGGGTGTGGACGGGTGAAAGGGCCTATAAAAAGAGAGTGTGATTACTGAAAATGGTCTGATGGTTAAGCATTGAAATAATATATCTAGCATTAAGGCTTATCCTCACAGCTTGATTGTCTTGATGCAAAGACACATTACTAACCATTTTGCAGAGATGTATGCTCATGACATCATTTCAATCTCATTTTCAGCCCATTGCTGAGGTACCCTAAGGTTATTGATTATATTTATATAGCTGCCCATCTCACCAAAGGTGACTCTTGATGATGCACAATAGATAACACAGAAAATATTAAAAATAACAATTATAAATATAATAAGCATAGTAATAAGGATCCTAAGAATAAACACCATAAGAGGAGCAGAATAAGAAATCCATCCCCCCCCCCCAAAACAATGGAGACAAATCCATTGTCCAATGGAGACAAATCTCTAGTTGTCTCCAAGATTACATGGCAACAATCTAAGATGCCTAGGAGAGGAATCTATAGATGATAGAGCCATGAATCTGTTCACCTACATCTGGCCAAACAATTGCTGTGGGATCACGGTTTTCCTATCTTACTCAATTTCTGGTCACTGAATTCCTATTGCCATTTTGTCTTGGTTGCACAAATGTTGGATAGTAAAATCCCACCATATTTAGTGTTTCCAATCAGCTGTCATTTCTCACCCCTCACCCCCTTTTTTTCTTTTGATATAGGGACAGGAGAAAATATATCAAGCATAGGAGTGGGGAAATAGCAGCCAAGATAATCAGGAACAGTTTTATAGGGAGAAAACCTTAAATCTGAAGTTAGGAAGCTCAGGTCTGGGTTCCAATTCTTTTTGGATTTTCAAATATCTAGACAAATACACCGATGGTTCCAATTATGGGATGAAAAATTGGTATATCTACCTTATACCTTAATGTGGTGCATTCCCCTTGAAGATGTTTCTATTGACTCCTGGCAGAAACCCATGCTGATTTTGAATGACTTAATATTTGACCTTGATCTTCATCTCTGAAAACTCTTTATCACTCAAACTTTCATATCTTCTAGAAGACTGGGAATTTGATATTCCAACAGGAAGAAAGTATACAAATGGGTAGTTTCCCAGCATCAGCTCACTGCATTTCATAGATAGAAATTGGTGGGGGTAGGGGATCTGCCAACAGTTAACACTAGGAATAGACCACTTACCACCAATTGCTTTCAGTGTCGTGCACTAAAACTTTATGGATAATAATAGTGCCCAGCCTATTCCTGAGAATTAATAAAGACAGTGGCAGCAACACAATTTATGGTGATACTCCTTCCTCATGACTCAAGGATAGGAGGAAATTATTATTAAAGCATATTAAAGCAGCTGCTTGGACAAGCCCTTAGTTTGAAACTAGGGCAAACCTTAATAGCATATAAGATTCTCACTAAACTCATTAAAAAAATTCTATGGTTGCTAGCATGTTATTAGAATTTGTCAAAGACCTCTCCGAATTATTATGGTAACTAAATCCAAGACTTTTAGATCTTCAGAATAATCATTAACAAGTTAAGAGATGTTGAGCAATGTCCATTGTTTTACTTTTAAAACTAATCAAATTTTTTTTTTAAAAAACAGCAAGTTAAGATCTCATTCTCTTCCACAAATAAGGCCATAATCTGCAAAGAAGTGAATATTCATTGGAGAAGATTGGAATGCAGAAGAGATAATTGTAATAATACATTTATTGGTTGATCAGGCTAAACCATTAAAAAAAAACCTTACTAATGAAGCATGCATAATTATACTGATATTGGTTGAGGTAAGACATACACTAAAAGAATTCTGCATATATATGCGAGCACCTAAATATATCTACTATACATCTCTGCATATTTCATAGAAAAAATGCATTTACAAATCTATATATAATCCCTAGCCAAGATTGCCATTGGTTGTGTGTGTGTGTGTGTGTGTGTGTGTGTGTGTGTGTGTGTGTTTTATTGGTTCATTTTTTCTTTAAAAACATAAAAATTTCCACGTCTATCTGAACAGTGTGTTTTGGGACATAATTAATTTTGAATAAATGTACAACAATAATCATAATCACACTATGATTATTGTTGTACATTTACTCAAAATTAATTATGTCCCAAAACACACTGTTCAGATAGACGTGGAATTTTTTATGTTTTTAAAGAAAAAATGAACCAATAAATATTAATCATAAAATAATAAAACAATTAGTTTGTTCATCTTACAATATAATTTTTTATTATCTCCGTTTCCATTGTTAAAGCGATATGGTCAAGTTTATCAATCTTATACTTGTCTCTATGAATGGCACATTAATAGTTTTACTATTAATGGTTTTACAACCATTGTAAACCAATGGTTTTACAACCTGTTACTTTCCATATATGTTGGAATTCTACTTAGATAAAATTTTTGAGAATTGCAATCCCAATCCATTTGGAGAATGCTAGGATAAAAAAGGCTGTGCCATATTTCCTTTTGCCACAGTCATTCACTCACATGCTTTTTTTTTTTTAATTGAAAAAGTTTTACAAATACAAATTTTCCCATTTCCCCCCCCCCTTTCCCTCCCTAACCCTCCCCTCCCCCCATGACTTCCCCAAGATGAAATCCAAATCCAAATCATATTGTACCGCCCATCTATTCTACCCCCTGTGTACTATACATTTCTACATGACATTCAACTATTCTACCCCCTGTATACTATACATTTCTACAAACATTCAGCTAAAAGCTATCTGGTACTTCCTAGTTTGATATTTATTCTGCACATAATCTATCCATTTCTTCCACTCCCATGCATAGGTCTCTTGAGTCCGGTCTTTTAAGTATGCTGATATCTTCGCCATTTCTGCAAAACTGGCCACCTTCAAAGTCCATTCTTCAATAGTAGGCATAACATCCCTTTTCCAATATTGACCAATCAGTAACCTAGCTGCTGTCACCATATACAATATCAATTTTGTTTCACCCAGTGAAAAGTCCTTAACTATACCCAATAAAAACAATTGAGGAGAAAATTGGAGTTTTTTCTTCAGAACATTTTGCATAACCCACCAAATTTTTATCCAGAAAGCCTTCACTTTCTTGCAAGTCCACCATATATGATAATATGTAGCATCTAAACAATCACATCTCCAACATTTTGGTTGAACATTAGGATACATGCACGACAATTTCTTAGGATCTAAATGCCACCTATAAAATATTTTGTAAAAATTTTCCCTCAAATTCTGTGACTGCGTAAATTTAACATTCTGGACCCATATTTTTTCCCACGTTTCCATCATAACTGATTCTGCAAAGTTTTGCGCCCATTTTATCATGCAATCTTTAACCAATTCATTTTTTGAGTTTCTTTCTAGCAAAACGTTATAGAACCTCTTAATATGCATTGGGCCTTTCTCTTTTATCTGTCTTACCAATTCTTCTTCATGCAACATTAACCAGTGTTTTGATCTTCTTTCCATCTCAATTGAAGTTGACTATACTGTAACCAAGTTAAATTAATCCCTTCTTCCAACAGTGTATTTAATGTCTTTAGTTGCCATCTGCCTCCATCCTTAAAAAGTACTTCTTTGTATAAACCACCCCCCCCGAGTGACTTTATATTTATATTCCGTATGATATGACCAAGATCCAACTACAACGGTATTTTATAATCCCATTTAAGACGGTGCTTCTTCCATACTCTCATCAAGGAGTTTCTAAGTATATGGCTGTTGAATACTTTATCCACTTTATTTTCGTAAAATAAATATGCATGCCAACCAAATTCAAGGTCATAACTTTCTATATTCAATATTCCAGTCTTTGTCCTTCCAAACCAATCACTTGCTTGTGTCAATGCTGCTGCTTCATAGTACAGTCGTAGGTTTGGAAGTTTAAGGCCACCCCTTTCACGAACATCTTGCATAATTTTCAGTTTAACTCTCGGCTTTTTCTCATTCCAAACAAACTCACATGCTTGTCGAAGTGATACTTTGCTGTATCAAGGCTATAACTTGACTAGTCTACTAATTTTGTCCTACGGAACTTCTTTAACACTCCGCTATCCCTTGTACATTTAGTCAGCATGATCAAAGTTAAGGAATGTCAGAAATAAAATTTCTGTGACATCTGTAGGACATAGATTCTCTACTCATACTCCAAACTTTCTCTTTCTTTGTATGAAGATAGGTTATTTCTACTGTATACTACAGTGGTTCTTATCAATTTGTGAATCCTTTGAATTTCAATACTTATGCATAAATATGATTTACATCTTGCCATACCTTTAAGAATACCAAACAACATACATAGCAATCACTCCCTTTTTTCCCCACAGCAATCATATAGACATAGGTTGGGCTGAGTGAAATTGGCCCAAAGTCACCCAGCAAGCTTCTATAACTGAGGGTGGATGTGTTTCTGAGTTTTCCTAATGCTAGTTACAAAGTTAGAGCTCTACCCAAGATCTAAAACTATACTTTCTAAGCAGATTAGAACCTGCTAAGAACTAGGGAGAAAGAACAAACAACTACAAAGCAAAAACAATGAGGGCAGTTCTTTGCAAATTACTGAGCTATGACTCTCAGCAGGACCCAGAGAGCCTTTTGATGTGATCATAGCATTATATACTAGCTGAAGATTGAAATCCTGAACATAATTTACTTAATGAACAAACAAACCTCTCAGACACATTGGGGCTAAACTGTGAGAAAACATAGGATTGCGTAGTAAAGGAAACAGCAATTTCATACCAGGCTAATTTCATTATTACTTGTTCCCTTGAGTTTAGATGTCTATTTTCAAGTCATTTTTGGAGGTTTATTTCTCCTTAATTTGCTTTGTTCCAGTGATAGGAAAAGAACCAAGATATTGGTGCTATTGACTGAAGGGCAAGAGAGTCAAATGGACCAGGTAAACTCTCAATAAACTGGACATCAGATATCCAACAGGCTATCAAATAGCATGCACGTAGGCTGAATTTATGTGGAAAACAATTCCTCTTGGCTGCAGAACTGAAATCAATACCTTTTAGACATACCACCAAGATCAGACATAAATCTAGATTATATGGCTCAAAGTAGATTAATTTAAATTCTGAAAGAGTTCCTGACCTACAAATACCCTGAACTGTTAAAAGAACACATCTACTTAGCTTTATAGTCTTTCCTTTAGTTTTATTTATGTCTGCCATAATCAGGCATCTAGTTTTGCAACATATACTTCCGAGGTCTCCTGTAAAAAGAAATAGTGTACAATTCCAACTGACATGATTTAATGACCAATAATTTGAATAACAGCTAATGCTTCTCTAAACCACAGCTCTATCCTGAGGAAGTATTGCAAAGTGCTTATGCTGCAACTTAATTACCAAAGCCAAGAATCAGTAAAGTACCAACTATCATAGCAAGGGAACCCAGCCAATTTCAGAGGAATTGGAACAAGGGCACTTAACAGCAACCACATCTTCCACGGGAAACATCATCTGGAATTCAGTCCCTTCCTAAGAACAAACAGCTATAGCTTTTAGTCAGAAAAAAACAATATAAACTGCTTTTTTTGGAAAAGAGCAATAACCATCCACCATAGATAATAATGGCTGAAAAGCTACCCATTCCCATACTAAACACAATGAGATCATATTTGTGAGTCAAAGAAGGACTGGAATTTTAAAATACTGAACAGCAAGTTAAGCAAGATTTATTGATTGTATGTTCCTTCCAAATCTGAGCTCATGACCAAAAAACACTCTCTACATATGCTAAATTATTTTTCAGGCACTATCCCAAACATGTAAGGGCTACAATTAGGGTCAAGTCTCCAATCACATAAAGTCATATGGGCATTAAAGCATATGTCCCTTGGGAGTTGGGCAGCATAGAAATGCGACAAAATAAATAAATAAATAAATATGTGGACAAACAGTGCTTCTACCCAGGGTGGAAGGCAATTGGTATGCTTGCCTCCATCCTGTGTTTTGAGGACAGTTCATTCAGGAGACCACATGAACAGGATTTTCATTTAGTGATAATAAGTAAAAGCCAAAAAATATTAACCTCCAAAGAAGAAAACATCTTTAAAGAAAATCATTTTCTTTGGGAGATACTGGGAGATTGGGAGTACTAATTGGTCAATGAAATTACTGTATAATAAAAGAAAGTAAAACAAAATATAAAAAACATTTTAAATTTAATTCCTTTGAAATAGTAAGATTCATGCCCAAGTAAATATTTGTAAAATCAATCTGTTTTTCCAAGATTACAGTATTAGGAACTTAGCCTAAGTCTCAATTATAACCAAAAAACTGCTACAGTTCGAAAGCATTACATATGCTTGTATGTAAAGTGACAATTGCTTAATCCTTAGAGTTTTCAATATAGGCAAGAACTCTGCTACATATTTTAACAATTTAGCACATGCAGAAAGTGTTTTTGTCATACACAAACACTGAAGAATAAATAACCAGAATCCTAAAAATCTTTTCTTGCAGTAATTGCCATAAATTTCAAAAGATTTCCTTTAAGTATACATGCTGAACTAAACATTTAATTTCCTTTGATTAAGGGACTTCACTCTCTTTTTCAACTATGTTAATGTGTGTGCATGTCTGTGTCTATTCTATTTTGGGGGGGATGGGGAGTCTGGAAATGAAAATCTTATATAAACCTTCAGTTCAGTGTAATTCTTAAAAGAACAATGTGAAACACAGTACACAGAACATCATTATAAAAATACAGTGAATCAATATTCATGGAAGTCACATACAGTGATGGTACTTACCATTGGGAAAAGCTAGAACACTGATGATTAGAAAGAAAAATATCACACAGAGGATGCCTTTCCAAATGTTATCTTCAGGGGTTGAATCATCTCTTTAAAAAAAAAAAGGCAAAGTAAAACATACAATTAAAGCACTGTTCATTTAAATTATTTTCAAGCTCAGTAACTTGTTTTGCCTTTTTGTACAAAAGCTAATTCATACTATCAATATATACGTATTTTCCTAGTTCCTCAAAATTTACCTTTATAAAAATTCTCAATCATCCAGTTCAGAGTTGTCCTACAGGTCAAAAAGCAACTGGCCTTCTTTTATTTATTTATTTTGTCGCATTTCTATGCCGCCCAACCCCCAAGGGACTTAAGGATTAAGTCCTTAAGGGAGTTAAGGATTACACTGGAACTTGGGAACTACTTAGATTGAGTTTGGAGAATAGTTTAATAGAGGTATATTTCCCAACCTTGTTTCTTCGGAAGCTCAGTTCAGACATTTAAACTCATTCCTGTTAAATCCCTTTTGTTTTTCCTACAAAAGTTCAAGTGAAAAGGCAAACCAACAAAGTCCAGTTGCCTTTTGAAAAGCACTTTGGGATGACCATACTTGCTACTTAATTAATATGTAGAGAAGTAAAGAATTGCTGACCAAAATAAAGTTACTGACTGTAGTATCTAATCTGAAAAACAGGGAACCACCTTAGGAACAGTAGTGAGTTTCACTTACCTTTGCTACTGGTTTGGAACTGTGAGCACACGTGTGAGCTCGCTTTGCTCACGCACGGTGCTTCTGCGCATGCAAAGAACCTTCTGCGCATGCGCAGAGCATCCATGATAACGTCCAAGTGGGTGGGCGGGGCCTCCCACTACCACCGCTACGCCCGAACCGGGGAGAACCGGTAGAAACCCACCACTGCTTAGGAACAGCATGATCCGCTAACCTTGTTTAAAAAAAGTTCTTTACATTGCCCTTCTCTTATTTCAGACAAACGAAAACTGAAGTTTTCTACTAAATAAAAAGTTAGGTTTAATATAGATGTCTGTGAGAAAGGATGGATTAGCTTTTTTAATGATTTCATTGTAGATAAAAGGATGCTCTTTCTTTCTGCCTCAATTCTTCTGTTCTTTCTGTACACAGCACAAATCTTTCATACCTTGAAAGATTTGTACCGTGTAATTACCGTGTAATTATCAACGATGCAATGACTGCATTCTGGTACCTTGAATCATTGTGCTAGTAGACATGAGTGAAAGCAACAATAATTAATTTAAGTAATTCTATGCCAGAGTATGTGTAAGAACAAGCAACAATATTTAAATGAGGAAAATCCAGTGAAATAATTATGATACACAAGCTAGAATTAAGAGTAGTGTATCTTTGAGTTGATGCATTATGGTTGAGGCAAATGGAACTTATATTCCTTAAGGCCAATGGCAGAAAAATCCAAAAGCCAGCTCCTGTACACTAGACGAATCTTTCTCTAGACATAAGAGCCTTCATATGTACAATTCTGTACATTTAAAAGTAATTTTTTCTTATATATTGGATTGTATGTATTTACTTATCCAAAAGATTGATCACACTATTGTAAGAATCAGCACTTCCGCACATGGAATTTGACTTTGCATCTTCTGCTAATTATTTTGGGATATTTGTTTGTAATATTATTTAACTGTTCTATTTTGTTTAGTTAGCATTTCTATAGAAATAAAGCAGACCACTGTGATTTAGTTTCTTCCAATTCACCTATAAAGATTTACCAATGATACATTAAAGGAATTAGCATAAATGACATGCATAGATGATGTGCATTTATGGATATGTACATCATAATGCATTAGTGAAAATTTATACAAGACTGTAACAATCTACGATACAATCTCTCCAGAGAAGGGCGGCATATAAATCAAATTTTAAAAAAACAAAACAAAAAAAAACATGCACATCTGTAAACACACATGCATAATTGTGTAAATTATCAATTAAATACAATTCATGCTAGTATGGAAGGTATTTTTACATAAGAACTTGTAAAATTGTAAGGGCAATGATAATATTCTTAAATTAAAACAATTTTAAGGCAAAGGTTTCCCCTGTCCAGTCATGTTCAACCCTAGAAGGCGGTGTTTATCTCCATTTCCTAGTTGAGGGAGCCAGTGTTGTCCGTCCTTGTGACCAGCATAACTATACAGCTGAGGGCACATGGAACATTGTTACCTTCCCACCAAAGTGGTACCTATTTATCTACTTGCATTTGCATGCTTTGAAACTGCTAGGTTGGCAGGAAAATTAAAATAACAAAGAATAAGTATTAATTCAGCAAGTGCATTGAATTACAAGAGATCTACTTGTGTGCATAATTATAGGAAAACTGACCAGTATGTTTGTTGGATGCTGTCAGCTATCTTGTTCCTTTTTTTCCATCAATAATGAGGTTATCTTTATTTTAGCTGCCTCATACTTTTCCCCTCCAAATGGATTAAGGTTATTGATCAATAGTTGACAGTTACCTCTATAAATTTGCCATCACAACAAGGATATTGCACCAAATGATTACAACTGCAGCAGACAAAACTTTTGGAAGATGAGATTTTCACATTACTGGCAACCAAAATAGGAATAAGAGCTGCTATCAGAAGAACTGTTCCACAACATATGGAAACTGGTGTTGCCAAGATTTTTAAAACAAAAATGTATTTACGAACCCAGGAAAGGCTAATTGTTAACAGAAATTGTTGATAAGAAAAGAGTAGGAAGAAAAATTCCAGACAGCTCTTTCTTTACTATTTTTTTAATCTTACAGTATTATCTGAGCGATATATATTAACCAACTAGGCCTTCACATTCACTCATTTTCTTTTTCATTTCTCTCTTCCAAACTCCCTTTATTATCTCTCCTCATTGATTTTAAAGCTATCAAAAAAGCTATCTTGATAGTTCCACCCTATCTAGTCCACTAGAGAGAACAGAACTCGTCATTCTTTTTGTTTGACAGTAGAATGAGTCACAAAAATTAAATATGCACATCTTGACTTCCCACAAAAAAAAGCAAAGCATAAGTCTTTGTCTCTCTACTCTGTAGTAAATGGATAGCCAAATATTGTTTGATGTACTGTTCTTGCACCTAAGGAATTTAAGGCCTATAAACATTAACAAAGATGCTACTTACTCAGGATGATGCTTTTAGAGAAAGCACTTCAGTTTTTACTACTGTTGCACCCTTCTTCTCTGATGAAGCTCAAGGCAACTAATGGTGGCCAGTCTCCTCAGCTGGCATTAGCCAGATCTAAAGTGCATCACTTCTGCAAGGCTGAAACACCGCGTTTTTTAAAACTTTTTGCTCTCACCTTCCCACTTTTAAAAATTACGGAAGTTACCTTTATCGGTATTTACCGTATTCAAAATTAAAACTGACCCATTTACGAAATATTTATTTAACGAACCATGTAAAAGCAACAATATAAACTCATTAAATATGAATTAATATTTTTTCATGAAAAATACCTGTATTTTTCAACAATTTTTTTTTAAAAAAGACATTATTTTATTTTATTTTTTGCACATTTCTTCAGCAGATGGCAAATAATTTTGATTTTTTTTTTTTTTTTTTTTTGCAGAGCCCTGAGAGGGTATTAAGGGTTTTCCCCCAGGGTTCCTGGGACCACACGTTAGGAAACCCTGCATATATTCGGAAAGCTGCAACCCTCGTAACGTTACAGGACGATGCTCCCCACAGCAGCGGACCGGTGCAGAGCCCTTGCACACATGCGGTCTCTTCTCCAGCATCCAAGCCGGGCTGGGGGGAAAAAACACACACCCGGCCACACAACTGTGACGGTTTAGGGTCGCCCATCCTGTGGCCAAAAAGACCAGCAGATGGGTCTCTGCGGCGGCTCGCCCTCGCAACGACAGCCGGGCTGCCACCGCGCCCTGCCCCTGCCTGAACGGTGCCGCCGATACCTGGTGAAGGCGAAGGCCATGAGGCTGAGGATGGTGAAGCTGAGCAGGGTGATGGTGTGGGGCCGGTAGAAGAACTCCAGGGTGATGTCCTCCACTTGCTGCTCGTTGATCATGCGGAAGTGCAGCCGGTAGTTCACATCGTCCTTGCTCAAAGTGCGACTCCCCACATACGACGCCATGGTAGCAGCGTCTTCCCTCCCTCCCTCCCTCCTTCCTTCCTCCTCGGCGGGCGATAGCAGGGCCGCTCCCGGGCCTCTCCCAACCCTCGCGGCTCAGAAGCAGAAGGAGGCGCGCCAGCGGGCAGCGAGGAGGACGTAGCCGGGATGGGAGAAGGGGCGGCGCGTCGCTTTAGACGTAGCCGGCAGCTGCCGCCGCCGCCGCCGCCGCCGCTGCCGCCACGAGGAAGAGCCGTTCGGGGCCTCGCCTCCTCCTGCTCTTTGCGTCAGAAGGAGCGGCTTGCGTGCCGGGGAAGGCGACCCTCGTGAAGGTGAGGAGGGCCTCGCTGCAGCCGGGCAGGCGTTGGATTCCACCCCTCCCCTCCACACACACACACACACACACGCACCCTCCCCCCGCTTCCTTCAGGCGCAGCTCCGAGCTGCGGGTCCAGCGAGTCCTCGAAGGACAAAAAAAAAAAACCTCCCGGGGGATCGAGAGCTGCAGCTTTCCCTGGTGCAGTCGGGTGAGTTGGTCGCTTCTGGTTGGGACCTTCCTCGGAAGTAAGCCAGAGCCCCGGTTTTCTTCTGTGCTTATGCCTTATTATGCCACCAGGCTTGAAATTTTCATAACCATCGTAATCATAAGTTTTATTTGTCAAGCATCTATAAGATAACAGGTAAAAGTATAAACATAATTTGAATACATGAAAAGAGTTGAGAGTAAAAAGGAATATTAGGACAGGGACGGTAGGCACGCTGATGCTCTTATGCACGCCCCTTACAGACCTCTTAGGAATGGGGTGAGGTCAACAGTAGACAGTCTAAGGTGAAAGTTTTGGGGTTTGGGGAAGAACTTTTGGGATTAGACAATTTAGAACTATGCAGCCTGACCTAAGCCTAGTACACAAAATTATCTGCTACAACGTCCTACCTGTCAATGACTACTTCAGCTTCAACCGCAATAATACATGAGCACACAATAGATACAAACTTAAGGTAAACCGCTCTAAACTCGATTGCAGAAAATACGACTTCAGCAACAGAGTGGTCAATGCCTGGAATGCACTACCTGTCTCTGTGGTTTCTTCCCCAAACCTTGTTTTATTTAAATTGGACTTTTTTTTATTTTAAATTGGATTTTTTTATTTTTATAAAATTAATTTTAATAAAATGCTTTTGGAGTAACTATCTAAAGATAGTTTTCTATTTAAGATATATTAATAATTTAGTTTATTCAGCATGAAATGGAGCGTAGTTATGTACCGTGAGGCTGTATATTCTGCAGTATTGGGACTGTCGGTGAGTCAACCGCAGGTCAGAGGACGAGCTGCTGCGGGACCGAGATGACAGTTGCTCTTCAAAAATTATGATTTAAATTTGACTTGAATTAAATCAAATCCACCTTGCTTGATTGGTTGATTGACTGAGCATATGACTCTGAGTAGCATACAAAATTAAAACAAAAGCTAAACAATCAATTCTACTATTAAAACCAATGAAAAACAGTTAAAAAGCTATAGTAAGAGGGGAAAAACAAAGAGTGCAGTCTAAACTTACACCAGTTTTTTGACAGGCTCCACAGTTCCATGGGATCTCTATCTCCATGGCAAAACCAGGTTTTGAGAGCTTTCAAGGTTTCCTACCCTTAACATAATAACAGTTAAGAAGCGCAGGAAATCAGAAATCCAGGCAGTTCAAATGAATATAGGTTTATTGTATGTTAATGCTCGATACAAGAACCTGAACTACTAACGGTCAAAGCAAATTTGTGGTAGATAAAGAGTCAAAGGAATTCAAAGTGGGCTGAACTTAGATCACTTGTGGACATGAAAGGATCAGAACTGATGACATGTTTGATCCCTCCCTCGAGCTCAGCCTGGTCATCTCCTACATTGACACTGCAAACCAGCATTACAAATCCTTATTCTGTCTAACAAATAAATGTAAATGTTCCTTTGGTCTTTTCTTACAGATCTTAATCAGTAAGATGCCTTTGTGGACTAGACAGTTATCCAGATGCTGCTCTTTGTTAAATACATACAATATTATAAAGAGTGCAGAGCTGAGAAAGCAATCAGTAAAAATGTGGACATGTTTTCTTGAACCATCAGAGTTGCAGTGCTTTTGTCCTTACCGATATTATTGCCACATGCTGTTAAAGAACTTTAGAACTTTGCATCTGGAGAATCACAGGCAGTTCTGCAGCTCAAGTACTGAACCCCATCAGACTTCACTTTCTTTGATTGACAAGCCGAAACCCGAGATAGTACCTACTTTAAATACCGAAGAATTGCTTCAAGGTAAGTAACAAATTACATTTATATGATGTTGAACATGATATATCGCAGCATTACGTCTAAAATTTTTCAATTTTATTTCCTCTGCCTTCTCTATTAAAAAATCATTTAGAATTTATTATTTGCTATAGTATTTAAATCACACTTTTTAACTGAGCCTAAAAAAATTATTTGGTAGAGTTGAGGGTGAATCTTATACAGGTAGTTCCCAGTTAATAACAGTAATTGAGACCAGAAAAGTAAGTCATCACATGAGACATTACTTAGCAATAGCATTGCCCCTTGCCATTGTTAACCGAATCCCACCAACTGTTAGGTAAAGACCTACTCTGATCCAAGCTACTCCTGGATTGGTCCTTCTCAGCTCTGAACCTCAGCAAGGTAAGGGACTAACTCCAATGTATCATACCCCTTACCTCCTTTCGTATCTCTGCCCTAAACAGTCATGCATTGTCATCCTCAAAGATTCCATATATTGTTTTTTTTAAACAAGTTTTATTGGTTCCCCCCCCCCCCGCACATTTACCCACATCTTTTTTAAACAGAGCATTGGCCATATCTTATGTGCAAAAAAAAAAAAAAGATTCCATATATTGTTATTGTTTTTGGGTTTCTTGTTTTTAAAAAATAATAGTCTTCAATAGACTATTTAAAAGGCAGAATCTCCCCCTATATTTTGAAAACAAATACTGTAATGAATTTGAAGGAATAATAATCAATTTAATTTAGAATAATAAAAGAATTCTTATTAGGGTTATTTATTGGTAGCTAAGATAGCTCAGCTCTGTTCACCATATAAAATTCTATATTCACCATATAGAATACCATGTTTGGTATTCTATCACTTCCTTAATTTCAGTTGTTTTTTTCACTTTCATAAATTTAAGATTTGGACGACGAGTTGCCTATATCTCCCTTGGAGAAAATTTCAGAAGACGAGTCTCTTCAAATCAAAGCTGCACCACCACCTCCATTAGAATCTTTCTCACTTAGAGATTATGTTGACCATTCAGAAACATTGCGCAAATTGGTGCTTCTAGGTAAGTATAGCTCCACTTGCTAGACGTGATATGCTGGAACTTTGTGATAACCATTCTTACTATATAACAACCAGTTGTGTTTGTGGAATATATTTCTATCGTAAAATGGTAGGTGGAAGGTATATTCTATTGCAGAAATATAATTCAGGGCAGAAACCACTTTCTTTTGCACAGTTTTTTTGTGATAGAAGGGTTCTTAAATACAAAAAATTCATGAAGAATTTGGAAAACAACTTCTTTAGAACTATTATTTATCTACATGTACCTCAGGATGTATACAGTATTACTTATTACCTTTACAATCAACATCATATTAACATTTCTGTATCTGTATCATATTAAATTATTTGGTGCCAGTAATCAATATTCTTCTGAGACCTTTAAAGAATGGAGCTGATCTGTTGATTTTAACAGAATGATAGGAATCAATGAGCCTTAAGCTCTTTCTACCACAATCCTTCATGATTTAGAGTTGCTATCTATGTTTACTCAATCACATTAAAAATGACTATAAATGAAAGACTGTGCAGTGGAACTCAAAATTGTTAAACATCAGGGGTGGATTCAGACATGATCAGACTTAAAATAATCTTGTTGATGTCAATGTGATTTAAGATAGTAAATTTGTACCTTAAAGCTGATTGATTTCGGTGGGGTTGTTCCAAGTACAATATTTATATCTAAAGTAGAACACATAGCTTTTTCTGTTTGCATGTACAAAATTGGGCACACAACAGGACAAATATTTATTTTCACTGAACGGCTATATAATTGGTTTTTGAATTTCCTGCAGGAGTCAACTTGTCCATGTTGGAAAAACATCCAAATGCAGGCCAGCTTCTTGTAAAACTCGATTTTGAAACTGATATAAAAAAAATCCTCCTATTTCTTAATGATATTGGTTTGGAAGATACACAATTTGGGGCATTTCTCACTAAAAATCCTTATATTCTCAATGAAGAAGTGGAAGATCTAAAAACAAGGTAAGGACATCTGGGCATTCCAACTCCCTCATCCACTAAACCTCAAATATTTAAACCTGCATTGGGTTGGAAGTCCTTGGATTTCTTGTTTGCTCCAGTGACACCACTTTAAAATGGTAGGTTCGGTATGTAACAGGATCAAAGACGTTCTAAACAGCACTGCTAGCATGAAGAATAAAAGCTGATGAGAAAGGGAAGAATACATGAATTCTTAAGTCTGTATTGGACAGTAGATGATTCATATCAGAGTATAGTCTTTTGGGTTGGTAGGTTACTAAGCTTGCTATTTTCCAAATGGATTTTGTAGCTGGCCGAAGTTTTTCCTGTCACAAATTGAACATACCGATAATCCTCATTTAGCAACTGCCTCATTTAGCAATCATTCACAGCTGCAGTGGTGATGAAAAAGTAATTTTGTGACCAACCCTCGCATTTACAACCTTCACAGGTCTGTAAAGCAAAGGAAAGCTGAACATAAACACAATCATGGTTTCACTTAGCAACCAATTCACTTAACAACCAAGTCGCCAGTCCCAATTGTGGTTGCTAAATAAGGGCTATTTATAATTTCAACTGAATAGCTTAAACAAGTACAGCAGCTACTATTTAGAAAGAATGCCAAGTTCTGTTCATTATTACACACGATTCCTTCCCAAATAGAGTCCCAATAAAATGCATGCATTGAATTTTCATGGAGGTTTTCCTGAAGTTGGAAAAAAGAGGTTTTTGTTTATTTTCAGTAAAATTTGTAATGCATTCTGAATTGTAGGGACAGAATTTGATTGTTGAGACTTGACTAAATACAGACATGTGTTTTTTATTATGGGGCAAAATTAAAATTCCTTGTCAGTAGTTAGAAATGAAAAAATAGAGGGTTGATTAGAGATTCAAT